CAGTTTTTTGCAGGTTTATGTTGACCTAGCAGCTTCCCTCACTAGACAGACAGCTCCTGTGGGCAGGGACTTTGTATTTAGTACTGTGCTGCATCCCGAGACCTGGAACTGAGCTGATTTACAGTAAGGCTCAGAGGATCTCAAAAGGTGTGTGGGGCTCACAGGGAGAGCATCCTAAGAGTGGCAGGGAGAACTGGGGTGCCGAGCAAGCCCACCTGCACCCAGCCTGAGGCAGCGTCCTTTCCTGGCTGCCCAGGCATTCTCATCACCACCATCGCTTCCAAGGGTGAGCTGCAGATGTGGCCTGAGCTGCTGCCCCAGCTGTGCAACCTGCTCAACTCGGAGGATTACAACACATGTGAGGTAGGCCATGGGCCATGGCCCCCCACCCCCTGCCCCCAAGTGGGAACCAGGACTGGACCTAGACCCGCATCCATGTATGTTCCTCACTATTCAGGGAGCCTTTGGCGCCCTGCAGAAGATCTGTGAAGACTCGTCTGAGCTCCTGGATAGCGATGCCCTCAACAGGCCCCTCAACATCATGATCCCCAAGTTCCTGCAGTTCTTCAAGCACTGCAGCCCCAAGATCCGGTGGGTGCAGCTCCCCAGGGGTCTGCAGGGGGCCTGGAGTAGGCAGGGCGGGGGTGACCCACATGCCCACTCCCTGCCAGGTCCCATGCCATCGCCTGTGTGAACCAGTTCATCATGGACCGGGCCCAGGCACTGATGGACAATATTGACACTTTCATTGAGGTGGGCTACCAGGCTGGGGGTGAGCAGGGTGAGGGCCAGGGTCCCTGCTGTGGCTGACCCTCCCCTCCCTGCAGCACCTGTTTGCCCTGGCTGTGGACGATGACCCTGAGGTGCGGAAGAATGTGTGCCGTGCCCTGGTGATGCTGCTGGAAGTGCGAATCGACAGGCTTATCCCCCACATGCATAGCATCATCCAGGTGTGCACACCCAGGCCAGCCTGGGTGGGTGCTGTGGGGCTGGGGGCACAGCAGGTATCACCCCCAGCTGGGCAGGGCCTTCAGCTTTTCTCACTCCACTCCCCTAGTATATGCTGCAGAGGACCCAGGACCATGACGAGAATGTGGCCCTTGAGGCCTGTGAGTTCTGGCTGACGCTGGCCGAACAGCCCATCTGCAAGGACGTCCTGGCCTCCCACCTGGTCCAGTGAGTGTCTCTCCTGTGTGCTGTCCCACCCCAGCCTCCACCTTTCCTGTTTCAGCTTACTTTCTATACCTGCACACACTTTTGTTCAGTTTTTATTGATTTCAGAGGGGAAGGAAGCGGGAGAGAGAGAAGTATCAATGATGAAAGCGAATCACTGATTGGCTGCCTCCTGCTTGTCCCCTACTTGGGATCCAGCCCACAACCCAGGCATGTGCCCTGATCAGGAATTATAGGTCGATACTTAACCACTGGGCAACACTCGCTGGGTGCCTGCATATATTTTGGAGGATACGAATGTAGCTTTAGTGACTTAAAAGTTAGTTAAGTTATAGATGGAATAAATGAGAAGTCAAGAGAGCTTTAGGCATAGTTGGGTCCAGGTGCTCAAAGGATGTGAAAGGCATCTGTCTAGTCTGAGATCTACTTCCTCTCCATTGGCTTTGTTCTCAGGCATGACCTTCCCTCCTGGCTGTGGCCTTCTACAGCTTTACAGCTTAGGAACCTCTGAAAAAGAATTCCCTCTTGACCAGTATCTCCAGCAAAACTCCTAGGGTCAGCTTGGATCACTCACCTATCCCCAAGTCAGCGAAGACTAATCACAGTTTCCAATCCCAAGGTACATGGGCGCCAGTGGATGGGCTGGCTGCCTTGCCTGTTTGCTCCCCTCACCTGGCCCCATCCCAGGGAAGTTCCTGGTGACTGGGCCACATGTCCCTGCCTTAGGAGAACTAGGGGTCAGGCACTGTTCTAAGCTCAGTGTATTCAGCGGTGTCCAGGTCTGGGTCAAGAGCCTTCCTGTGGAGCCAGGAGTGGTGTCAGCTCTGTGCCTGTCACAGTGGGTAGCTCCCATTAAGGGAAATGAAGGGATGTGGGGCCAGCAGAATCACTGTGCGCTCTACAGTCTGCCTTTGACACTCCCGTCTGTACCTCTGCTTTCCTCTTGCCCAGGCTTTCAATCCCCCCAGGGCACCCTGCCTCCCAGTGAATAGCCTCTCTCCCAACAGGTTGATCCCTATCCTGGTGAATGGGATGAAGTACTCGGAAATCGACATTATCCTGCTCAAGGTCAGCTGGGCTGACCACCGGGCACAGGCAGGTGGGTGAGGGCGGTGGGGGTTGGGGCTGGGGCTCTGGTGGTGCTTAGTGGTTTGTCTGGCCCACAGGGAGATGTGGAAGAGGACGAGGCAGTCCCCGACAGCGAGCAGGACATTAAGCCCCGCTTCCACAAGTCGCGCACTGTGACACTGCCCCACGAGGCCGAGAGGCCTGACGGCTCTGAGGATGCTGAGGACGACGATGACGACGATGCTTTATCGGACTGGAATCTGAGTGCGTGGCCCGGCAGGAGGGGTGGCGGGGTGGTGGGGCTGGAAGGTGAGGAGAAACTTACTTGGAGCAGATCGTGAAGATCATCCTAATCGTGATCTCTGACCTGGGGGTATGGTGGAGGAGGCCCTGCCTGATGGGCTTCCCTGAGCCTGCCTCCCCCCCCCCCACAATTCCCTTCTGTCTCAGGAAAGTGCTCGGCGGCTGCACTGGATGTCTTGGCCAATGTCTTCCGGGAGGAACTATTGCCCCACCTCCTTCCCCTGCTCAAGGGCCTCCTCTTTCACCCTGAATGGGTCGTCAAGGAGTCGGGCATCCTAGTGCTGGGCGCTATCGCTGAAGGTGAGTGCCCTGGCTGTCCTGACTGCCTGAACTCTGACCCTTGTGCTAGCATGAGACGGGCTGGCCTAGGCGGAGCTGCCTGGGGGCAGAGAGTGGTGATGGACCTCATCCCTGAGTTCCCTCCCGAGGCCTGCTCAGCCTCTCCAGACAGAGTGGATAGTGCATCAGCCTGCGGACTGAAGGGCCTGGGTTCGGTTCCAGTCAAGGGCACGTGCCCAGGTTGCGCACTGGATCCCCAGTGGGCGCACGTAGGAGGCAGCTGATCAATGATTCTCTTATCATTGATATTTCTATCTATATCTCCCTCTCCCTTCCTCTCTGAAATTAATAAAAATTTTAAAAAATTAAGATAAGCTCAGGAGCCCTCACCCTGGAGAGCTTTCAGAATTTATCTAGGGAGAGGTTCCCTCACATTAGGTATTCTACATATTCATGGAGAAGAACTGGAGGAGCTAACGTTAAGCCAGTAAGAAAGGGCCTCTTGTCTTAGGTTATTAGGGGGTGCCCCATTATCTGTGTTCTCTAAATTAAAAGAGTGTCGACCTATGAACCAGGAGGTCAAGGTACATACATGTCCAGGTTATAGGCTCGAGCCCTAGTAGGGGTCGTGCCGGAGGCAGCTGATCGATGATTATCTCTCATTATTGATGTTTCTATCTCCCTCTCCCTTCCTCTCTCTGAAATCAATAAAAAAAACCCACAAAACTTCAGAGAAAAAGATAGCCCTGGCCAGTTTGCCTCAGTGGTAGAGCATCAGCTCGGGGACCAAGGAGTTTCGGTTTTATTCCCATCCCTGGTGGTCGGTAGGGGCTTGCGAGGAAGGCAACCAATTGATGTGTGTCTCATGTTGATGTAAGACATACTCATGGTTTTTTTTAAAAAGGAAGATGGAAAATAGAGAAAGAAATATCACAAACATCCAGGAAAAGTTTCAAAAGAAACCTGTGTGGTCACTGCCCACAAAGCCTGAGTGAGTGCAACCCGGTCATCTGTGAATTAATGAGTGACCATGTTGAGGTGGAGCTGATGGCAAAGAAAGGTTTGCCCTGTTGTGGCTTCCCCTCCTGACCCTACTTTTCACTGACTCAAACTTTTTTCATCACTGACTTTAGAGAGGAAGAGAGAGACATTGATTTTGTTGTCTCACTGATTTATGCATTCATTGGTTGATTTTTTTTGTTGTTAATCCTCATCTGAGGATATTTTTCCATTGATTTTTAGAAAGGGTGGAAGGAAGGAAAGGAGGAAAAGAGGGTGTGGAGAGAGAGAAAGAAACATCCATGTGAGAGACACATCAATTGGTTGCCTCCTGCACCTGCCCCAACTGGGGCTGGAAATTCAACCTACAATCCAGGTATGTGTCCTTTATCAGGAATCGAACCCATGATCTTTGGGGCACTGACTGACTCTAACCACTGAGTCACAGCCCAGGGCCATTGGTTGATTCTTTTTTAAAAAATATATATTTTGATTTTTTACAGAGAGGAAGGGAGAGGGATAGAGAGTTAGAAACATTGATCAGCTGCCTCCTGCACACTGCCTACTGGGGATGTGCCCACAACTAAGGTACATGCCCTTGACCAGAATCGAACCTGGGACCCTTCAGTCTGCAGGCCGACGCTCTATCCACTGAGCCAAACCGGTTAGGGCAATTGGTTGATTCTTGTATGTGCCCTGATGAGAGATGGCTCACATAACCTTGGCATATTAGGACGCTGCTCTAACCAACTGACCTACTAGCTCAGGGCTCTGAGCTAATTTAAACTCTGAGCCTCAGTTTCCCCATCTGACAGGTTCGGATGATCCTCTCCCCTAAAGAGTGGGTGTGGCTGGGCTCAACTGGACTCAGGATTGTCCCTGTGCTGTCCTTACAGGCTGTATGCAGGGCATGGTACCCTATCTTCCCGAGCTGATCCCACACCTCATCCAGTGCCTGTCGGACAAGAAGGCCCTGGTTCGTTCCATTGCCTGCTGGACGCTGAGTCGCTACGCCCACTGGGTGGTCAGCCAGCCGCCAGACATGCACCTCAAGCCTCTGATGACAGAACTGCTCAAGCGCATCCTAGATGGCAACAAGAGGGTACAGGAGGCAGCCTGCAGGTGACCCCTGGCCCCTGGCCCCCCAGTCCTTACCCCCTGCGCCGCTGGCTGCCATCCGGGAAGTGATGACACTCATTACCTCTGATATTCGCTGATTTCTAACGTATTCGTACTGGCTGATCCCGGGTGCTCTATCTGCTTCTGGCCCAGCCGCCACCTGTAGATGCCCACTGAGCCCTTTCTCCCCTTCTAGTGCCTTTGCCACCCTGGAGGAGGAGGCCTGCACAGAGCTGGTGCCCTACCTCAGCTATATCCTGGACACTCTTGTCTTTGCCTTTGGCAAGTACCAGCATAAGAACCTGCTCATCCTCTATGATGCCATCGGCACCCTGGCTGACTCTGTGGGCCACCATCTCAACCAGCCGGTGAGACCCCACAGCACCTCCCTCTTCCCGATTCCCTGCTTACCTCTGGCATCCAGGGACCTGGCGGCGACCCCGTGTTGCACACCAGGGACATGGCCATGACCTCGACAGGTAGACAGAGCCCTGGCCCCTGCCCTCGCCCTTTCCCAGTCTAGTGGGGGAGACACACAGTTATGAAACAGCATGGTAAGTGCTGTGCTGGGAGCTCAGGGGCCTGCGGGTAGCAGGAGGCTGACCCAGGCTCCTGAAGGGGCAGTGGTGGATAGGGCGGGGCTTGGGATGGGTGAGAAGAACTGGTGGTCTGGCTGGATGGCCAGGGCTTGCAGGATCCCATGAGACACAGTGGGGAGCCAGGCCTCATTGCTCAGGCAATAGATGCTTATGGGTCACAGGGAGCCCTGTTGGTTCCCAGACTGCCATCTTTGCCCAGAGAGCCCCAACTTCCTGCTCCCCCTCCAGGAATACATCCAGAAGCTGATGCCTCCGCTCATCCAGAAGTGGAACGAGCTCAAGGATGAAGACAAGGACCTCTTTCCTCTGCTGGAGGTGGGTGGGCTTCAGGCTCCCTCCCACAGTCCTGCCCCACCCACCCAAGTTCACCTCTCCTGCCTTCCTCCCACCAGTGTCTGTCATCCGTGGCCACTGCCCTGCAGAGCGGCTTCCTGCCCTACTGCGAGCCCGTCTACCAGCGCTGCGTCACCCTAGTGCAGAAGACACTGGCCCAGGCCATGGTGAGCACCCATCTGCCCGCTCCTCTGCTGCTGCTCCAGCCCTGGCCTACCGCCCTCACCTTCCTGCCTACCCCTCTGCCCAGATGTATACCCAGCACCCTGAGCAGTACGAGGCTCCCGATAAGGACTTTATGATCGTGGCACTAGACCTGCTCAGCGGCCTGGCCGAGGGCCTGGGTGGCCACGTGGAGCAACTGGTGGCCCGAAGCAACATCATGACACTGCTGTTCCAGTGCATGCAGGTGGGTGGGCACCCTTCGCAGACCTCTCACAGTGATGACACCGAGCAGCCTGTGTGGGCCACCCTGGGGGGGGTCAGGGTCCCCAAGGACATCAGGGAAAGGGGGCCTATTACAAAAACTTATAATTCTTTTAAAAAGGCATTTGATTAAGACATGAGTAAAAACTCATTTTCAAGGCAACAATGTAGAAAACTTAGAAGTATAAAATAGAAAACGTGAAAGCACAGCCCCTTCCCCATCACCCCCAGCCCATGTATCAGCAGTTACATGTGCCCCTTTCTTCTGCAGCAGTGCCCTGAGCAAGGCACTGGCTCACACGGCCCCTGAGCCCTGGTGTATGTGGGGGCCCGCAGCCTTGGTGCTGGGAAGTGGAAGGGTTAGGCTGTGTTCCTGGGACTGCTCCCCTAGCTGCCCTGAGCTGAGGGATTAGTTGGCACCCCAGCTGGTTGGGGGGAGGGGAGCCGTGCCATGCTGACCCTGCTCTGACCCCCAGGACTCGATGCCTGAAGTTCGGCAGAGCTCCTTTGCCCTCCTGGGAGACCTCACCAAAGCCTGCTTCATCCATGTCAAGCCCTGTATTGGTACGACACCCATCTCATCTTCACCTCACAACCCTGCCCTGGCCTCAAGTGATGGAACAATGACCAGGGAGGACTGTGACCGAACTAGGATGTGTTCGTACTGTCTGATGGGGCCCGCCCAGCCCGGTCCGGGAGCTCACCCTGTGGGTCCTCCTGCTCAACACCCCTCTTTTCCCCACCAGCTGAGTTCATGCCCATCCTGGGCACCAACCTGAACCCTGAGTTCATCTCTGTCTGCAACAATGCCACCTGGGCCATTGGCGAGATCTGCATGCAGATGGGTGAGTGCCCTGCAGGTGGGCAGGCTCTGCCCCTCCCCATTGACCTGTTCCTGGCCTAGAGCCTGGCTCTGAGTGACAGGTCCCCTTGAGAGGGTGCTGGTGCTCCTTGAGGAAGGCTCCCATGGACCAGGGGCAAGTGGGTACCTCTGAGCATTTTCATCAGAGATGGGCCGAATGGCTGAAAGGCCATCTGTGATTGGCTTCTGTAAAGAGGCAGGACAGGAGCCTTGTTCTAATTGGACAATTTGCCACCTCCCCACACCAAATGCAGTTCCACAGGGATTGGTAGGGAGACTTTGGCAGCTTCCCCTCTCCCCGCAAAGGAGCTGGCCATCTGGCCTCACCTTGGTGTTCATCAGTGACTCCAGGGAAGCTTCTGGTGTTTAGAGGGTGTGGATCTACCTCTGGTTGGCTATGGGTCCTGGCCCAGGAACCAGCTAAAGTTTTTTTGCTCCGTCACTAGATGTGCCTGGCCAGTATCTAGATGCAACTGCGGTGGGTGGCATGGGTGGCGTTGGCTGTGTGTGGCTCTGACTGTCTGGTCCCCCAGGGGCAGAGATGCAGCCCTACGTGCAGATGGTCCTCAACAACCTGGTGGAGATCATTAACCGGCCCAACACACCCAAGACCCTGCTGGAAAATACAGGTGGGTGCCAGGTCTCGCTGCTGCCGCCCCCTTGCTCACCTCCTGGAGGTGGGCTTCTTGGCTGGGAGTGTAGTTAAGTGGCCTTGGGAAAGAAACAGGGAAGGTATCTGGAAGGACCTGGAAGGGGTTCTGGGAGGTGAAGCAAGAAAGCTAATGCTGGCTTCCAGGGAAGACCCAAGCGGGGCCGAGCTCCAGGCCCTGGTGGCTGGCAGGAGCTATTCCCCTGTGGCCCGTGGGACGGGGCTTGGTGCCTGGTGCCAGAGGCCCCCCCATGTACTGTCCCGGGGCCACTCGGGGTTGCAGGTCGCCTGACGAGTCCCTCTGCCATTCCAGCCATTACCATCGGCCGCCTGGGCTACGTGTGCCCACAGGAGGTGGCACCCATGCTGCAGCAGTTCATCCGGCCTTGGTGTGTGCTCATCTGTGTGGGGCCTACCGTATGGTGGGCCGGGCGGCAGAGTGGGTGGGACAGGCCCAATCCGTTCCCTTGCCTGTGCCCACCCAGCCCTGCTCACCGTCAGATGCACGTCCCAGCCCCATCACCCTCTGACCCCCTGCTTCCTCCATGCCCCATAGACACAAAGCCCACCCCAGCCCCTCTACCCACTGTTCCTATGGATGCCCCTCCTGCCCCACCCCTGCCGGCTGATTCCCCCCTGCTCACCTTCCCCACAGGTGCACATCCCTCAGGAACATCAGGGACAATGAGGAGAAGGACTCAGCCTTCCGAGGCATCTGCATGATGATAGGCGTCAACCCCGGGGGCGTCGTGCAGGTTGGGGCGGCTGGGCTCTGAGGGAAGGCACTGGGGCTGGGCTCGGGCGGCCCCTCACATGGGATCCGTCACATTTCAGGACTTTATTTTCTTCTGCGATGCTGTAGCCTCCTGGGTGAGCCCTAAGGATGACCTTCGGGACATGTTTTATAAGGTGAGGCTCCTGCTTTGCCCTGATGTAGTCCCAGGAGGTGGCAGGGGAAGGCTCTCTGAGGGGAGAGGCTGAGTTCATCTGCTCTGTTCTGGTGTCCGTCTCCCACCTCCCCGGCCCGCAGATTCTCCATGGCTTCAAAGACCAAGTTGGAGAGGAAAACTGGCAGCAGTTCTCAGAGCAGTTCCCGCCGTTGCTCAAGGAGAGGTTGGCTGCCTTCTACGGGGTCTAGAGGAGCATTGAGACTGCCGGTGAGGAGGCTGCATGTAGGGGCAGGTGCTGTCATCCAGGCTGAGGGAGCACAGGCCCTGATTCTTCCTCTCCCTGCAGGTTTCTGTCTGCGTCGTCATCGGAGGGGTGGCTGGGGAGCACACCGCGTCCAGAAGTTGCCGTGCCCTGGTCGAGGGGGTTAGGGAGGAGTGAGTGGGACCCAAATCCAGATGCCTTTCCTGCCCATCTACCTGCCATGCCTGGCCTGGGTGGCCGGCAGTGGTGGGCAGGTGGGTGGGGCCACCACACTCATCCTACAAATGGGAGGGGGGTGGGACTTCTTGGCAGCAAGGGCCCCTTTCTCTAAGTAGGGTCACCACAGGCAGCCCACATGGGCCAGCCATGTGGGGGGGAAGAATCAACACCGCCGACCGAATCCAGCTTAGGGTGAGGCAGGGGGAAAGCAGGCGGGGAGGGGGGGGTCCCTGTAGAGGTGTGTACACACACGTACACACGTGGCTACACGCATGTGTGGGCGCTGCAGCCAGCTAGGCTGGGTCAGCTGCCCCACCATTTCCCTGACTGCATGGAGACAGTAGAATTAGTGAACCCCTGAGTTAACCCATGAGGCCTTCCGTGTAACCTGCATCTAGAGTTTAAGACGCTTCAGCCGTTTTACCAGAATTGATGATGATTGGGGAGGGCTGGGTGGGTTGGGGTCCTTTGCTGGGAACCCAGGGTGGGATAAGAGGATGGCCACCTTGGGGCTGCCCTGTCAGCACACACACACACTTTGACCTGCTCAGCACACTTCTGCCAGCTCTATGGCAGCCGCAGCCACCATGTCCCTCTCCTTGTCTCATCCCGGCCAGAAGAGTGGGGACCAGAGGAGTGGCTAGGGCTGGCCAGAGGTCTCCCTTCCTCCCTCCCTTGTGCTCCAGTGACATGAAGACACTGGGCCGGGGCCTTTTTCTGGAAGAGAGCTGCAGTGGCCAGAGCGGCTGACATCTACCCCTGCCTCTCTCCATAAGCGTGTCCATTTAAAGGGCAGTCTATTTCTCTGTGCTCCAGAGAGCCCTCCTCAAGTTCCAGGCCCAAGTTTTTATAATAAGGGCCGGGGCATTTAATTGATGTTGATGAGACAAAAGCTTATGCTTTGCCAGCAAGAAGGAAAGCAAGGGCTTAGAGGAGGAGTGGTGAGGCCCTGAGTCTTCCTGTTCGTCACTGCTCCCAGTGGCCCCAAGAGCCTGCCAGATTGGGGCAGTGATTCTAGGGGTCCTTCTGGGATTGGCCAGGGATGTGGTCACCGTGAGAGAGGATCCCCTAGAACTAGAGGGAATGTGATTCTGAGTTGGCCTAGAAATGAAGCTGGGCCCTGCAGCCCCCCTAATGTTTTCTTTTTTCTCCTCCCCTGCTTTTTACTTTAGGGGTCCCTTTAGGGGTTTTGGGGGGGTCTGATGATTCCTGCATCTTGGGGCCTGCTCCATCCCACTGGGTTCTTGGACCCTACCCCCATCATAGTCCTGTGTCTTCTCAGACAGGGTCAGGCCCTGCCTCTATTCCAAGGGGCACTTGGTGCACATTCCATAAACTCAGCTGGTTCCCCCTCCCCCTTGAAACTCCAGCAGGTCTCTGGAAGCCATTTGTAAAAAAGAAAAAAGAAAAAAAAAATTTTAATACCATTTAATTTCCTGGTAATTCCAATTCTTTGGAGCATCCTCTGCTGGGTCTTGGGGTGTGTGGATTGGATTGGCTGGCTGATGGGTTGGGAACTCCTCCACCCAGGATGAGGGTCTCCAATTGCCTTCAGGGAAGTGGGAGTCTGGTTCATTGTCTTATTTTTTTTTTTTTAACTATTTAATTTTAATTTATTTTTGCACAACGAAGTTGTAGCTTCTCAACCTCCCCTGCCCTGGGCTGTGGACCCTGACTGGCCTCGATCCACAGTCCCACTTGCTCCCATGTTCCTCCTTCCCCTTCACTCTTCCTCCTGCGGGCTCCAGGGTCTGTCCATTTGTTACTGTGCTGTGCTGGGGATTGGCGCCGAGGTGGCGTGAGATTCCACTTGTGTAGAACTTTGTTGAGTAAAGATCAGTTTCTTGTGAAACCTCGGTCTCCACCCGGCCTCCTGTGTCCTTGTCTTTGGCAGTAGAGATGTTGAAAGGAACTGGGAAGCTTTAAGAATGGGGGTGCACAAGATTCAGGAAATAATTGGGGGAGTGGGAAAGGAACTAAGCAATAACAAGGCATATTACTTGGGAGCCTCAGTTTTCCTCCCCGTAGAATGGTTAGGTTAAATGTGAAAGGTAAAGATTAAATGTAATAAATACATGGAGTGCATTCTCTCGGCCATAATTACAGCACACTGAATGTCCTGAGCTCACTAAAGGGGAACCATTAATATAGCCTAGGTTCAAGATCCCCACCTGCCTTAGACTAAACTGACTTCCACACTGGATAGCTGGGCATGTGTTATACAAAGTGCTGAGGTCCCAGAAAACTTCAGTGTTATTGTTCATAGATTCCAAAGAAATAACCTGGAGGACTGGCTGTGAAAGACATGGGTTTATTAGGACTTACATGCGCACCTGTGGTGGTCAACCAGTGAAGATGATTGCTAAGTTCCATCAGCCTGTGCACGGGTAGCACCAGGGGCGGCTGGCTGGTGCTTTATAGAGTACAGAAAAATGGAGGGGGATGTGCCTATCTGAGATCAAAACACTAGCTGTTTACAATTCAGGCTCACATCTAAAAAAGCTTCTCTTGGGCTGTTCTTAGCCTGAGTTGCTGGCCAGGTTCCCAAGGTCTCACAGTCCGCTTACAGATGGCCTTCACTATATTTCCCAGGGTGGCAGGGGGAGTTGGAACATGGGGAGGGGCCCATATTCCCATTTGCCATATGGCAAGTTAGACATTTTTGTAGAAAGTTTGGCCCAGCACCAGGCCTGAGGGAGATCGGTAAGATAGCCTCAATTACTAAGGCAAGTGAGAAACTGCTGGGCTCTGGAGAGGGGCAAACCTCAGAATAAAATGTGGCAACCTCAGTATGGCCCAGGATCACCTGCACCAACCTGGGGAAATGCAGACACATCCGACACGAACTCAAATGTGTGCACTTCAGTGAGGGGAAACAGTATAAACAAGGAAGCAGTGACATGTCCCGTAGAGAGACAGCGGGAGGGGAGAGGACACGGGGAGATGGTCGCGATCTCACAGTAGGTGCCCTGGGAAGATAATGCTTGAACAAAGCGTGGATACGAGGAGCCTGGCGGAGGAAGGTACGAGTGTTGTGCTGTCACTGCCTGGCTCAAAGGCTCCCAGGTGCTGTTTTTATCGGTATGATTCACTTCCGTTCCACGAAGCCCCTGCAGTGTAACCGCATGTTTCTAGCTGCGGAAGGAGAGAGGCGTTCGAGTCGCCGCCCCAGACAACCCGGAAAAGGGCTTTGCTTTTCTAATCGGTGCGGTGTCACCCCGGGGCGCGGTTTTCAAACCAGAGCCGGCTGGCCTGCGTCGACACCACCGAGGTGCAGGAACCGCCCTGACCGGTTTGGTTCAGTGGATGGAGCGTCGGCCTGCGGACTGAAGGGTCCCAGGTTCGATTCTGATCAAGGGCATGTACCTTGGTTGCGGGCACATCCCCAGTAGGGGGTGTGCAGGAGGCAGCTGATTGATGTTTCTCTCCCATCGATGTTTCTATTCCTCTCCCTTCCTCTGTAAAAAAATCAATAGAATATATTTTAAAAATAAAAATAAAAATAAAAAACGCAGGAACCAGAAGTCTGCATGTTCCAGGCCTACGCAGCTCCAGAGCGAGACCCCCGGGCAGGAGGGGGCGAGGAGCGTGTCAGCATCCAGCCAGTTTCACGAGTGCCGCTCACTTCCGGCCTGCGCCTTGACGTCATCAGGCAGAGCCGAAAGTGCCCTCGCGCTGCCTAGGAGACAGGACGCGGGGGCCTGCGGCTGACAGGGCACAACCGGCCGCGCCCACTCGGTCGCCATGGAGCTGCCCCCAGGGCCGCGCGACCATCCCAACGCCTGGGACGATGACTCGGACCCGGAGCCGGAGCCTGACCCAGACGCGCAGGCCGAGGCTTACGTGGCCCGCGTGCTCAGCCCACCGAAACTCGGACTGGCGCCCCCGCGCGCACCTCCGCTGTCCGCGTCCGCCCGGTCCCCGGGCGCCCTGGAGCCGCGGGCCGCGTCCAAGAGCCGCGCCGTGGGGGTCCCGGGCCTGCTGAGCCTGCCCCCGGAGCTGCTGCTCGAGATTTGCGCCTACCTGGACGCGCGCCTCGTGCTCCACGTCCTGCCGCGCGTGTGCCACGCGCTGCGCGACCTTGTGCGTGACCATGTCACCTGGAGGATCCGCGCGCAGCGCCGCGTACGCGCACCCTATCCAGTGGTGGAAGGTGCGCACGCGGGGGGCCAGGGTCGCCCGCCCAGGTCAGCTTTAGGGCCCGGGAGGGAGTATCTGGGATGCTGCGATCACAGCCCCTAGAGCTGACTTCCTGGCTGTCCTAGCTCCCGTGGAGGCTGAGGTGGTTACTGGTGGTGCCGGAGTCCCTGAATTCTGAGTGGACCATGAGGCAGACATTTGGGGTCCTGACGCTCTAGAAACCTGTCTGGGGGTGTGGGGTCCTGTGAACTCCGGATCCAGCCATCATCATGATGACTTGGGTTCTGGTGGTGGTACAAAGGCCCTGATCCCTGGCTGGAGGTTGACACAGGGACTTGAAAGTCTCAGATTGTAGGAATCCGCTTGGGGCTCAGGGTAAACCCAAGAATCCTCAGGTTCTGGGTCAAGATGCTGAGGCAGCAACTAGCGATCCCTTACCCCTAGGGCCCTGACCTAGGTGGTGGCGAGGCAGGGACTCTTGAACCTGCAACTCTTGAGCCCAAGGTAGGGTTTGGGGTTGGGAATCTCTGATGCCAAAATCACAGATCCTCCAGCCCAGGGTCTAGCCTGGGATCTTAGGTAGGGGCTGGTGGTCATCACCCCTGCCCCCGAGGTCTTCGGTCCCTCGGGGATAAGACAGCTTGGTGGCCTTGAAGAGATGGGACTCTCCTGAGTAGCTTGATAAACATGGATGCCCGGGCTCCATCCATATCACTGAATCTCTACACCTAGGGCTTGGGTTCTGCACCTTGACAACTCTGCCAGGTTTATAGTTTGAGAAGGAACTCTCCTGGGTCTGGTTTGGATGGCCGAGGCAGAAAGTCCTCGCTCCTGTGCCCAGACCGAAGGATTAAGGTCAGACCTATGTCGGGGGCGAGGAAGGATCTTAATGTCCTGAGGCTGCTGTCTCCCAGACAGGGTTGGGGGCTGAGGCCTGAGGCGGTGGTCTTGAGACTCCACTCCCCCAGCTTCTGGAAACAGGGGTGAGGGGTAGTCCCAGACCTGCTTCGAAGGTGGGTGAGGCAGTGGTCCCAAAGCGAGAGCCTGGGCCTCCTTGGAGTGGGGTGAGGGATCCAGATGGGGGGTTTCTCCAAGTCTGGTGCTGGTTGGGCTCCCTGGGAACCAGGCGCAGGCTTGGATAACTGGTGTGGGTAGCAGAGTTCCTGCCCACCAGAGACCCCACTTGTGGTACCCCACAGAGGAGGACTTTGACTGGCCGGCGGCCTGCATTGAGCTGGAGCAGCACCTGTCACGCTGGGCGGAGGATGGGCGCTGGGCCGAGTACTTCTGCCTGGCTGATGGGCACTTTGCTTCCATTGACTCAGTGCTGCTGTTCCAGGTGAGATGGGGTTTGGTGAGAGGCCAGGCAGGGGTGGGCCAGGGTGACCCCAACAATATCTCCTTACTCCCCTCCCAGGGTGGGACACTCTGTCTGTCCGGCTCCCGAGACCGCAATGTCAACCTGTGGGACCTGCGGCAGCTTGGGGTAGAACCCAGCCGGGTTCTGGTCAAGGCCCTTGGCACCCAGAGCAGCACCCACAAGGTAAGGCTATAGGAAGCTCGAGGCCTAGGTAGGGTGCTGTGACTAAGGGCTCGGGTTTTGGCACCAGACCTGACAGATGACAGTCTTACTCTGCTATTATTAGTGTGATTTTGGGTGTGATGTATGACTTCTCTGGGCCTCAGTTTCTATTTCTGTCCAGGGTCAGTCAGGATGAATGAAATGAACAGGCATTAAGAGCTTCACTCAGCCGAAACCGGTTTGGCTCAGTGGATGGAGCGTCGGCCTGCGGACTGAAGGGTCCCAGGTTTGATTCCGGTCAAGGGCATGTACCTGGGTTGCGGGCACATCCCCAGTGGGGAGTGTGCAGGAGGCAGCTGGTCGATGTTTCTCTCTCATCGATGTTTCTAACTCTCTATCTCTCTCCTTTCCTCTCTGTAAAAACTCAATAAAATATATTTAAAAAAAAAAAAAAAAAAAAAAGGAGCTTCACTCAGACTTGGATACACAGTAGGTGATTAATCGATGTCAGGTGTGCCTGGAGAGGCCCAGGGCAAGGTGTGAGGAGGCTGCCCTGAGGGATCTGATAGCTCTGAGCATGACTGTCGTCTTGTGTGAAGTGGTCATGGAGAGGCACCTTTACCAGTCAGTGGGGTGATCTAGGCTGGTGGCCAAGAGCTTGGTCTCTGAGCCAGGCTGCTGGGTTCCATTGCTCATTCTGCTGTTTCCTGGCTGTGTGACCTTGAGCGAGGAACTTGACCTTTCTGTGCCCTCAGTTTTCTCATTTGTAGAATGGGACACTTGACAGTATTCTCAGAGGGTCTGGAGAGGAATAAGCCCGCCATCAGCCAGCACTCTGTAAATTACCTCCTGAGACAGGGACGGCTTTTATGCCCGTTTTCCCAATGAGGAAACTGAAGGAGGGGAGGTAATTTACCCACGCCACGGAACAGAGGCTTTATATTTAATCTCATTGTCACGTGGCCTCAAACCATCGCAGGTTCGGGGTCTCCGCAGAAGTTGATGTAGGAATATTGTTGGGTGAGGGGGTGTGCGTGTCCTGAGCTCTGCAGTCGGACAGACCTGCAGACGTCAGCTCTAATCTCTGCTGTGGCTCTGGCTTCTTGGGTTGGTTATCTTCCTCCTCGGGCCCTCCATCTAGTTATCTGTGAAGTGAGGCCTGTCACATGGCTCTGGTCCTACAGGGTTGGGTGTGGTCGCTGGCAGCGCTGGACCACCGAGTGTGCTCCGGTTCCTGGGACAGCACGGTGAAGCTCTGGGACATGGCAGCTGACGGGCAGCAGTTTGGCGAGATAAAGTGTGAGGGGTTTTGAGGAGGGGCGGGGGGGCGGGCGGGCAGGGCCCTGCCTGGCCACAGCCCAGCCTCGTGCTCTGTGTGTCCCCAGGGGCAAGGCAGCTGTGCTGTGCCTTTCCTACCAGCCTGACATCCTGGTGACCGGCACCTACGACAAGAAGGTGACAGTCTACGACCCCAGAGGTGGGCCAGGGGCCTGGACTGGGGCGAACAGGGCCGCCTGGGGGTCCCAGGGTCATGCTGGGGAAGGAGGCACTCGGGCCTCACAGCCTGGCTGGTGACAGTCACATACGCCAATGCTAACCCCTCAGAATGGCCTGTGCTGTGCTGGGGGCAGCACAGGGGGCCTTTGGGTGGGGGTGGAGTAAAGGACATAGAGGGTACCCAGAGGAAGGCCTCTGAGCCGGAATCCCGTGGGAGGCAGGCAGCACCGAGAATCCAGGCTCTCCCACTGCCTGGCTGTACGACACCAGTCAGACTTGAACCTCGGTTTTCCTATCTTGTAAAATCAGATAACAACTCCAGCCCTTTCGGGTTAATGGGAGGAGATGATAATAAGAACACTTGGTGGGTTGTTAGTTTACATAAAATCCCTAGAACAAACGTTGCCCGCCACATAAGCCTTTTCTGTTAGTTTTTAATTCTTATGTTGTTTAATTGAAGGGCCAGTGCACCTCATCCCGGCAGAGCTGAGTGGGGGTAGAGGTGGCGGTGACTCTGCTGGCATGGGTTGGCATTTTATGCTGGGACTTGCCTGTCTACTCTGTACTGGGAGCAGATGGGACAGGAGGAGAGATGGGACAGGAGATGGGGGTGGCACAGGCCTGGGGTCCTGGGAGGCCTGGATTCAGCTGGAGCAGGAGAGGAAAGACGGGTCATTTGTAGGATAGGGAGTGGGGGCGGGAAGCTGACCAAGGGTTTTGCCATAGACCACAGAGGCCCTGGATCCTGGGGTTGGCTTGGGGGTGCCTCTGAGGGGCTCTGATGTCACCTTCCTCCCTGGCCCGTCACCCACAAAGTCGGCCCAGCCCTGCTGAAGAGCCGGCGGCTGCACTCCAGCGCGGTGCTGGCGTTGCTGGCGGATGACCGGCACATCATCTCAGGCAGTGAGGACCACACGCTCGTTGTGTTCGACCGCCGGGCCAACAGTGTCCTGCAGCGGCTTCAGGTGGGCCCTCCCCAGCGTCCCGAGGGAGCGGGGCTGCGGCCTGGCCCAGCCTGAGCGGCTCCGTCCCGTGTCCCTCCCACAGCTGGACTCCTATCTGCTCTGCATGTCCTACCAAGAGCCCCAGCTCTGGGCTGGTGACAACCAGGGTCTGCTGCACGTCTTCGCCAACCGGGACGGCTGCTTCCAACTTGTCCGGGTCTGCCAGGGCCTTTGCCCCTGCCCCCTCCTTCCTGGGCCTCCTCCCTACCCCTAGACCCCCCGTGGCGATGGGTGGCTAGCCTGAGGAGAGCCTCGCCTGAGTGTCACCTGTCCCTCCTTCCTGCAGTCCTTTGATGTGGGCCACAGGTCTCAGATCACAGGGATCAAACACTCGCTGGGGGCCTTGTACACCACGTCCACTGACAAGACCATCCGGGTGAGGCCCCATGACAAGCCCCCTCCCATGCCACCCTCACTGGCAGGGGGCACACCTCCTGACCTTCGTCTGTTGCCCGTCACCAGGTACACGTGCCCACAGACCCACCACGGACCATCTGCACCCGAAGCCACGACAACGTGCTGAATGGGGTAAGGCCCTACGCCACGTGCCCTGCCCCACATGCCTTGCTGGTTGCTGAGAGCACCCCTGAGTCTTCATCTCCCTGCCCAGATCTGTGCTGAGGGCAACCTGGTGGTGGCCGCCTCTGGGGGCCTGTCACTGGAAGTCTGGAGGCTCCAGGCCTGAGCAGGCAGACATGGATATGGATGTGGATCTGCTGGCTGGCAGGCTGGATCAAGGCCTCTGTTCTCGGGGGGGCCCTCCCCTTTTCTGGTGCTGCCCTGGGCTCAGGCCTGGGGCACAAGGACTCCAGGCCACTGTTGGGCAGGGTCCCTGGTCTGTGCTCCATGTTCCAGGCCACCCTCAGGTCCTGTTTACAATTGGACGCCTGCTTTCCCTTGAGAGCGAAGGGGAAATAAACCTGATGTACTGGTGCTGTGGCCTGGAGTGGTGCCTGCTTGGGGCTGGGATGCTGGGGAGGCCCTCAAAGTCATCACCATCCACCCAGCTGCCCTGGCCTCTGCTGTGTATGTCTGGGTGGCCTGTGTCCACCCAAGTGCATTCCTGGGATCGTGTGTGTCTGTGCATCCCCAGGGGGGCGAGTTAGCTGGCTGTGTGTGATGTCACTGTAACCCCGTCTGTGACTGTCTGCATGCCCGTGAGTGTGCACGTGTGAGAGGAAGAGGGAGATTCTGGAGGATGTGGGCACCTGTGTGTGTGATGACACCTGTGTGTGTGTGTGTGTGTGTGTGTGTGTGTGTGTGTGTGTGTGAGACGTGCATGTATGCAGTGTGCAATGGCGTGTAGAAAGGGACTGTCCCTGAATGTGTGTGTGCGGGGGGGGGGGGGGCCTGCTAGGGCTAGCCCATGGGTGTGTGCTCTTCCGTCCAGAGTCCAGGGGGTGTGCCCCTGTGGCAGTGACCCCGGAGTGGGCCGGGGAGGGGCCTGGGCCAGGTGCCCCTGCAGGCCTGCAGCTCCCCACTGCCCCCCATTGCCGCTCACCAAGCCCTGAGGAGCATTTACTTCATGTTTATTGAGGGGCCTCGGGGCCAGTATCATAGGATGGCGCAAGGCTTCTTCTCCTTGAAGGGGTTGGTGGCAGCTGGGATGCCCACCAGGAACGGGTCGCTCTTGGCCTGCTCCATGCAGAACTGCAGCAGGTCAGCGGCTGCCTTGGACACCTGCAGGCCAGCTCAGTCAGCCAGACCTTGGCTGTCCCTCTGTCCCCTCGCCCAGACGTGCCCATCTGGCCTCAGCCTCACCTTTATGCGATCGATGCCAGCCTCCATCCTCAGCTGCTCCACTGCCTGGCGGGCCTGCCCAATGTCGCAGCCAATGGCCTCCTTGCTGGACATCTGGGGGAGGGTGAGAAGGGCCATAGGAAGCAGGCTGAACCCAGACCTGGAGTCCTAGGGCCACGCGAGGGTCCCTGCACCTCTTCTGGTGTCCCCTGAGAACTGTGGGGTAGGGGTGGATGCTCCCCACCCATCAGAACCACATACCTCAGCTGAGGACTCTGGCCGACTCCTGGCTGCTCAGTTCTCCTGTGGCCCTGCTCTGCCTCTCTCCCTTGTGGGCCCGCCCGCGGCCCCCCCCCCCCCCCCCCGCCCCGGCCTCTCCAGTCCCCTCCTCCCTGACCCCTGCAGAGACTTTGAAGCCAGGACACTCATGGAGTAAAATGTCACCAGTGACAGCAGCAGCAGCTGCTTCAGCCAAGGGGCTCCCTGCCCCAGGAGGCCTGGTGGGCACCCTGTGGTCTTGTGTTACCTTGGCAGAGGGAGTGTGTGGCCTTGGCCTGTCCCTGATCTGCTTAATCCCCTGCTAACTAGCCCCCAAACCCCTCCTTTACCAGCCTCTGTACCCCAGTGTGCAGTGTCCCCAGGCTTGGATGCATCCCTGCCTCTCCTCTCCATCTACACTCACTGTCCCAGGATCCACAACATGGATGACTCAGTCCACGGCTTATGCTGATGGCTTCCTTGGCCCCAACCCAGCCTTTCCCTGACCTCGATCCACCTGAGGTGGATCTAGCCTCCATCTAGCCTCCTTGGTCCATCCCGCCCATCACTCCGGTGTCTCTCACCTAACTAGGCCAAGGCCGGATTCTGGATTGCCTTCTCCCCAGACCTTCTGCCCCCAGATTCACCACCATCCACCAGACTGCCCTGGCCCAAATCTCAAACTCCTTTATTCCTCTCTTTCTGGTATCCCCACCTCTAATCCCTTCTCAAGTCCCAGCCAATTAACCTTCAAATTAGGTCCTGAATCTGGTCACTTCTCTCCACCACCACATGGGTCCCATCTCCATCCACCCTTGCTCACTTGGACCAGTCCACCCTGGTCCACCCCCACCCCCGCCACTATTCTCAAGGCAGCCAGTAGGAAATGTTAAAAAACAAATCAGAGTAACATGGATAAACCAACCTTGAGGGCATTATGCTGAGTGAAATAAGCCAGTCACAAATGGACACACGATTCCAAGCATATGAGGTCCCTAGAGAAATCAAATTTGTAGAGACAGAACGTAAGACAGTAGGTACTAGGGGCTGGGGTAGGGGGATGTGGAGCTGGTGTTTAATATGGACAGAGCTTGGGAAGATAAAAACATTCTGGAGATGGATAGTGCTTGCAACTGTTTGCATAACCATGTGATGTGCTTAATGCTGCTGACCTATACACTAAAAATGGTTAAGATGGTGAGTCTTATTTTTAGTATCTCACTCCCTTTTAAAAAAAAGATTTTAAATTGATTTTGAGAAAGAGAGGAAAGGAAAGGGAGAAGGAAACAGTGATGTAAGTGTGAAACATCAATTGGCTGCCTCCTGCATGCCCCCTACTGGGGATGGAGCCTGGAAACCTGGGCATGTGCCTTGACCAGGAATTGAACTGGCAACCTTGTGAATGGGATGACATGCAACCAACTGGCCACAATGGCCAGGGCCCTCACTTCCTTTTTAAAACTCTCCAGTGGTTTCTCAGCCTCTAAGAATAAAACCCACCTTCCTTACTACAGCCCATAGGGTCCTGCCTGGTTCGGCACCTCCTGCCCACTCTGAATTCATTTACCAACTTCTTCCTCCTTCATTCCTCATGGATCATGCTGATGCCCTTGTATGTGTTTGTTCGTTCATTCATCAATTCATTCATTCAGTATCTTTGCTGAGATCCCAATATGAGTCCAACACTGCTTAGGGCAGTGGTTCTCAGCCTTGGCTGCACATTAGAATCACCTGGGAATCTTTTTAAAATCCTGATTTCTGAGCCTCATCCTCCGGAAATTCTGTTTCTTTGTTATGGGGTGGGGACACAACATTAGTAACAAAGAAACAGAATTTCTGGAGGATGAGGCCCAGAGATCAGGATTTTAAAAAGATTCCCAGATGATTCTAATGTGCAGCCAAGGTTGAGAACCACTGGCTTAGGGTAAGGGGCTCAGCAGTGAAACCAGACAAAATCCTGCATTCATAGAGCTGTTGTTCTAGTCAGAGACAGGCAACAGCAAACACAATGTATTAAATGCTATGAAAGACAACACAAGTAAGACAAGGGCAAGACTGGGTAATTAGGGCAGGCCTCCTGGAGGAAGTGACTTTTTAAAAAATAGTTTTTATTTATTGATTGATTTTTAAAAATCTATTTTATTGATTTTAGAGAGGAAGGGAGAGGGAGAGAGATAGAAACATCAATGATGAGAGAGAATCATTGATTGGCTGCCTCCTGCACGCCCCGCACTGGGGATCGAGCCTGCAACCCAGGCATGTGCCCTTGGCTGGAATCGAACCTGAGACCTTTCAGTCTGCAGGCCAACACTCTATCCATTGAGCCAAACCAGCTAGGACTTTATTGATTTATTTTAGAGAGAGAAAAGGGAGAGGGAGAGAGAGAGAGAGAAACATTGATTTGTTGGTCCATTAATTGATGCATTCATTTGATTCTCGTATGTGCCCTGACTGGGGATCAAACCCACAACCATGGCTCATAGGGACAACCCTCTAACCACTTGAGCTACCCAGCTAGGGCTGGAAGCGACATTTTCAAAAAAATTTATTTATTTTAAAAAAGAGGGAGGGAGGGAGGGAAGGAGGGAGAGAGAAAGGAGAGAGTTGTTGTTCCACTTACTTATGCATTTATTGATTGCTTCTTCTATGGGCCTTGACTGGGGATCAAACCCGCAACCTTGTGTATTGGGAATATGCTCTAATCAACTGAGCCACCTGGCCAGGGTGGAAGTGACATTTTGAACTGAGGCCCAGCAGAAAAGGAGCTGGGGTAGGCATGTTCCAGCAGAGAGAGCGCAGCGGGTGCATTGTCCCTTGGGCAGGAAAGAGCTGGTTGGGGCTCAGTGAGGGGCTCAGTGTAGCTAGAGAGGAGTGAGTGAGGGCAAGCGGTGGGAGATGCAGGAGGGAAGTCAACAACAGGATGATGCAAGAGCCTTTTGCTTGGGGGTGGGTGAAAGCCCAGATTCTACTCCCAGGGGGAAGCCACTGCTGTTAGAAGGAACGATGCGCCTGATTTCTGTGTAAGGAGCTCTCTGGCCACAGCTTGGAGAGGGACTGGAGGGGAGTGAGTGCAGTGTGGAGGTCGTGGAGGCTTTGGGGATGATGAGTCGGATACAAATACCGACTCACGTTGTACACCTGTAACTAATGTAATGCTGTATAACAATTATACCTCAGTTCTAAAAGAGCAACAAGAAAGCACTTGGATTTGGGACCTATTTTATAGGTAGAATTTGGTGCATGTGCTGGGGGATAGGTGGGGGTGTGAGACAAGGGGAGCAATCAAGCTCAGCTCCCCAGTTTGTAGCCTGGTAGGTGAGGGTCGTTTGCTGAGATGTGGAAGACCGCAGCATGACCAGGGTTAGGTGGAGAAAAAGCCGAGGTGGTGAAAGTGAGATCCAAGCAGGGAACTTCAAGACTGTCCAGGAGGATGTTTGTTCTTCCAAATGAGTAGGCTCATTTCCAGCCCCAGGGCCTTTACACTGGCTGTTCTCTCCCAAAGGGGGGCAGTGGGGCAATGGCCTCCCCCCATAAGTTCACATATGGGGCCTTTCTTGGCCTTTGCCTTTGGCTCAAATGTTACCTCCTGTCCTAACCAGTTTGGCTCAGTGGATAGAGAGTTGGCCTGTGGACTGAAGGGTCCCAGGTTTGATTCCAGTCAAGGGCACATGCCTGGGTTGTGGGCTCAATCCCCAGTAGGGGGCATGCAGGAGGCACCCGATCAATGGATCAATGATTCTCTATCATTGATGTTTCTCTCTCTCCCTTCCTCTCTGAAATCAATTAAAAAAAAAAGTCACCTCCTTGGTGTCCTTCCTCAACCACCTGTCCCTCCAAGGCCACCAAACCCCCTTCATCCACCCCTATGCTGAAGGCTCTTGCATCATCCTGTTGAAATCCTGAGTAGCACTTGGAACTATTGATAACTTTCTATCTCACCAAACAAACTGTGGGCTCTAGAAGGGCAGGGTCTGCATCTTACTGCTTAATCTGCACCCGACACAGACTCCATAAATGCAGTGTGAGTGATTAAAGGGGTCCCCTCTGGACCAGACCCTGTGCAGTTAGAAGGAGCCATGAGATACAGTCCCCACCCTTAGGGTCTCAGAGTCTTGCTGGAGGGAGAGATGTCCGCCCAGGATCTCAGAGGAGATCCCTTACCCAGAGCAAGGGCAGGGCAGGCCTCCCAGAGGTGAGCGCTGGGGCTGCCTGGGAGGACCAGAGGGTGATGCAGCATGTGGAGGCCCTGGAGACTCGCGAGGTACGGACAGGGATCAATAGCCTATTTGATAAGAGATGCTCAGTGGCAGAAACTGACAGTTCCCGATGACTGAATTCTGTCCAAGGGACGTTTAAGAAGCCATTCTCTCACTCCAGGGGACAGAAACGAAAGGACAGGCGCCCCGCAACGCGGTGGGCCTCCACTAGGCGGCAATGAATCCTCCTTCCTGTGAGGCGCGTCGCGAACAGGAATAACGGCTCTAAGCGGCTTCCGTAGTTCGCAACAGGCCACGCCCCCGACTAGAGGCCTCGAAGAAGGCCATGTGACTAAACAACTTCCGGTCTCCCTCTCCCGTTTTTCTCCGAGCCCTGTTTGCTGTGCTCTTGTGGAGAAGCGCGTGCCAGGTACAGCGTTTGCGGCCCCTGAAGGCTGGCTTGGGACTGCTCTGATCCGCGCGCGGCGGCGGAGCATGGAGGGCCCCCCGGAAGGGGAGGCGCCGGCGGCGGCGCGGGCCGCGGTGCTTCAGCACAGCTCGGCGCTGCCGTCCGAGAGCGCCCAGGTCCGGGGCTACGACTTCAACCGTGGCGTGGACTACCGCGCGATGCTGGAAGCCTTCGGCACCACTGGTTTCCAGGCCACCAACTTCGGCCGCGCGGTGCATCAAATCAATGCCATGGTGAGGCGGGGGCGTGGCCTCTAGTGGAACCAACGCGGTGCAGTCCCTGGGGGGCGGGGCTTACCTGAGAAAGAGGCGCGCCCTTCGTAGGGGCGGCCCAATAGTTGGAGAGGTGGGCCATGCCGGGGGTGGAGTTTCTGTGTTTAAGAGAGGAAGTTGCCCCCCCACCGCCCAGCAGCGATAGCCTAGCATCAATAAGGGGCGGGGACTGACTCTAGCTAGGCAGGGGGCGGTTTATAGTCTTTGTCTATGTTCTGAAGTGGAAGGAGCCCAGGGCCAGACCGTGGCCTGGAAGGAGGAATTGGAAGAGCCTAAGTCAGGGCAAGGCCTTGGATTTGCTCCTTCCAGCGGAAAGGCGGTTGAATCCTGCAAAGATGCTCTGATTCCCGAGTGAGGCAAAGCGAGGGTGTGCCGCAGAGCCAGCCTGTGAAAGGGGCGGAGTTGCACTCCCTCCGCTGGTTCCTGGTATAAGTGGTCCTCTTTCCGAGTGGGCAGGGCTTGGGAGCGGAGTGTAATCCTGAAAACCACGGGGGTCCCTGGGCTGGAGTTTGGGTTCAGAGGTTAATTTGGCTCCTCTCTCGCACAGATAGAGAAGAAGCTGGAGCCTCTGCCGCAGGATGAAGACCAGCACGAAGACCTGACCCAGAGCCGCCGCCCACTCACCGGCTGCACCATTTTCCTGGGCTACACGTCCAACCTCATCAGTTCAGGCATCCGTGAGACCATCCGCTATCTCGTGCAGCACAACATGGTGAGGAGCTGATGGGGTGGGCTGTGGCCTTGACCTCTCTGGGGTCAGTGGGCAGTAAGATCACTGGTATTTTAGTAAGATAGAGAGATATGGGCCAATTCTAAGCAGAGGGACAGGATTGAGTTTTGTTTCGCAGCAGACATTCCTGTAAAGTTACTAGATGGGGGTTGGGAGTTAGGAGCCCTGCCCAGAATGAGGGCAGGGTCCGCCTACCTGGGCCAACCTCATTGCATGTGGCTGCAGGTGGATGTCTTGGTTACTACGGCTGGGGGCGTGGAGGAGGATCTCATCAAGTGCCTGGCACCCACATACCTGGGCGAGTTCAGCCTCAGGGGGAAGGAGCTACGTGAGAACGGGATTAACAGGTGGGGGGCCTAAGTGGTGTTGGGCAGGGGAGCTGGACTGAGGGTCCTGGGGCCTGATGCCTATCTGCCTCCTGTCTCCAGGATTGGGAACCTGCTGGTGCCCAATGACAATTACTGCAAGTTTGAGGACTGGCTAATGCCCATTCTGGACCAGATGGTGCTGGAGCAGAACACAGAGGTGGGGCTGGGACAACTGGGGGGCTGGCATGGTGGCAGTAAGGGAAGGCACCACTGGCTGAAGCTCATGTCCCCTCCCAGGGTGTGAAGTGGACGCCTTCCAAGATGATTGCCCGCCTCGGCAAGGAGATCAACCACCCAGAGTCAGTGTATTACTGGGCCCAGAAGGTGAGGGTGGACTCGTTTCATTTTCACAGTCACCTAGGGAGTCAGTGCTGTTCTCATCACCCTCACTCTTCGATGAGGAATTTCAGACACAGGCTCGGCAGCTTTTCTGAGGTCACGCAGCTATTGACTGTGGTCCTCACATCCTGGCTCTGCTCCTACACCACCTGGGAGCAGTTGGGGCAGTGCTAGGGCCCACTGCTCCTCAGAGGCTATGACGTCCAGCAATGGGAACAGTAACAGCCTGCCATTCTTTATGTGCTGGGCATGGTCCTCAGTGTTTTGGGTGAGTTTTCTTATAAATGCTTCCTCATCTGTGAGGGAGGTACTGTTGTTACTGTCATTTTACAGTCAAGGAAACTGAGGCCCAGAAAAGTTAAACACCATGCCCAGAATCAGGCAGAGAGGGGATGCTGCCAGAATGGGGACCAGCCTATCCCCACCAGGATCTGACTCCTGCTGCTGTCCTGTCCTGCACTCCCCCAGAACCACATCCCCGTATTGAGCCCGGCACTCACAGATGGCTCGCTGGGCGACATGATCTTTTTCCATTCCTACAAGAACCCGGGCCTGGTCTTGGACATCGTGGAGGGTGAGGTGCGGGGGCCAGAGGAGTCGGGGAGGAGGGCTGGCTGGCCCCGGGGCCTGATCACAGTTCTCTTCCCCAGATCTGAGGCTCATCAACACACAGGCCATCTTTGCGAAGCGCTCTGGCATGATCATCCTGGGTGGGGGTTTGATCAAGCACCACATCGCAAATGCCAACCTCATGGTGAGTGGGGATGGAGCACCTGGTCCCTAGTGTGGGGGTGGCACTTGAGTCTGCATGTAGCGATGTCTGTGTGTTAGGCCTAGGCCCCATGCTGGAGACACAGCCATGGACAGGCCAGGACCCCTGCCTTCCTGCGACTGAGGTTTTAGTCGGGGGAGACAGACAGTAAGGTAGGTGGCAGTCACTGCCATGGAGAAAAACGAGGGATGACAAGATGGTAATAAAAAGGTATACTCTTCCAAAAAGGGAAGCCTTTCTGGGAAATGTGACCTGTGAATAGAGCAAATTCAGTAGATGTCTCCGCTGAGCCATGTGGTTGCCTTGAGGAAGAGGTCCCAGCAGAGGGAACAGCCAGTGTAAAGGCTCTGAGGTTGAAGTAAGTTAGGAACAGCTAGGAGGCCTGTGAAGGAGGGAGAGTGGGAGGTGTGAGGCCAGACTTGCAGGGCCTTGAGGGCTGTGACTCAGGTGCTCACAGGTGCCCTCTGGCTGCTGCAGGGGGAACAACTAGGGCCAGGACCAGGGTAGGGACCAAGGCAGGGAAGAAGTGTTTGGGTTCAGAGGTCTTCTAAAGGTAGAGCTGGTGAGACCTGACCGGTTTGGCTCAGTGGATAGAGTGTCGGCCCCTGCGGACTGAAGGGTCCCAGGTTCGATTCCGGTCAAGGGCATGTACCTTGGTTGCGGGCACATCCCCAGTGGGGGGTGTGCAGGAGGCAGCTGATCGATGTTTCTCCCTCATCGATGTTTCTAACTCTCTATCCCTCTCCCTTCCTCTCTGTGAAAAATCAATAAAGTATATTAAAAAATAAATAAAGATAGAGTTGGTGGCAGATGTGAGAGGGTTATTGCTCTCTAGGTTGGTCTGGGGCAAGACTACCTATCATTTGCCCAGTAACTCTCCAACCCCTAACTGCCCAGCACTGATATAGGACCCGTCCCTTGCAGAGTGGCCACCAAGGGGCCCTCCTTTATCTAGGACACAGGCTCAGCTTCTCTAGCTGCAGTGCCCTGCCTCTATATGTGTCTGTCTGTCTGTCTCCCCGCCCGCAGCGGAATGGGGCTGACTATGCTGTCTACATCAACACGGCCCAGGAGTTTGATGGCTCTGACTCTGGTGCCCGGCCGGACGAAGCTGTCTCTTGGGGCAAGATCAAGATGGATGCAGAGCCTGTCAAGGTGAGGGCCAGTCAGCCTGCTGGGGTGTAGGATCTCCCAAGCTATAGCTCTGGGTCCTGTGGTTACCTGGGTCCCCTCCACAGGTCTATGCTGATGCCTCCCTGGTCTTCCCCTTGCTTGTGGCTGAAACCTTTGCCCAGAAGGTAGATGCCTTCATGCCTGAGAAGAACAAAGACTGACAGCGGTGGCCCTCCCCCTATTTATTTGTTTTCAGACCCGGCCCCTCCCCCACTCCTTGGTCAGTAGCACGTCTGGAATAAATGGTCTCAGTGGTCCAAAGTCTGCATCTGTGTCCTTAGTGGTGGTGGGTCCCCTGGCCTCAACCTGTGCCACCCTCAGTCTCGTAGGCCTCTTCCTGCCAGCAGTGGATGCTGCCTCCCATGGCAGTCAGCAGGCAGGGCTCTGTGGGGTGGTAGGCCAGTGACTGCACCACACCAGGACCCACCTGCAGGGCCAGGGCCAGGACACCCTGTGGAACAAGGAGGGAGGGGGGGGAGCAGTTATCAGTGAGCCTCCCATCCTGACCTTCAGCCATCTGCTTCTAATGGCTTTCCAGTCACTGCAAAACTAGTCTGCCCAAAAATGAGCCTCTCAGTGGCTCTGTCCTTCCAGGTGTTCAAGCCAAAACCTTGGGAGTCTTTTTCACACCTCACATCCCTTTATCTGTAAATCCTCTTGGTTCTGCCTTTAGACCAGCAGTGGTCCATGAGGCCCGAAAGGTTGGCGACCACTGCTTTAGACTGTACTCAGAGGCCACCACCCCGCTCTGAGCCGTTATGTCCGGCTTTCAGCTGCCTTCCCCCGGCCGCCATAGGGGCTCTACAGGTCTACTTGGCAGCATCAGTGTTTGCACTTCCTTCATCAACCCAGACACAGCAGCTCCACACATATGGTTTCTCCAGGAGGCCCCGGTTCCTCTTTTCCCTGAAATGTCCCCTTCCTTCAGTGTGACCTCTGCTCTATCAGATCCTCAAGAATTAGGCAGAATATTGGCTCTTTCTTAGTCCCCCTCAAGTTCCCAAGGTCCCCCAGTTCCCTCTATCCTTCTAAGGGACTGACTTCCCCTGGCCAAGCTCCAGCACCCACATCTTCTTCCATGAGACTCTCTAGCCCTGAATCCCCTAAGCCCAGCCTATCTGTTCTCAGCCTGATGCCACCACCAGGCTGGGACACATCAGGATACGGCTCACAGGGCTTGGGGCTAGAAACCACAGGGATGCTCAGAAGTAGCTCAGGTTTCCTGAACAACTACGGCCTCATCTCCCCCAGGGTTAGATGTCGCCATTGGTTCCCCCACCCTCAAGGTCAGGCCCAGTGGCTCAGCCTGGCATTGGTGGCCCTGCCTGACGTGGCTCCTGCTGCCGCCACTGCCATCCTGAAGTGCTGCTGTTTCCTGACCATCACGTGCCACCCTTAGAAGTCTTAGCACATACTGTTCCCTTTGCTGGAATGCCTTTCCTGCCCTCTCCTTCTAGCCACTGTTCTAATAGCACTCCCTTTTCCCGGTCTGGGAATGACTGAGGTAAAGGCAAAGTGGGGACAGTGCAGTGTGGGGGTGGAGAGGCTCACCTCCACCAGGTCCCAAAAGAACACCTTCCCATCCTCGGAGCAGCTGACTACATGCGTGTCACGCTCACTCAGGCAGCAGTCCAGCTTGTACTCCTGGTTCTTATGGCCTGTGTACCTGGGGGTGGATGGGAACAGTGGGGCTCGGGCCTTACCAGGGGCAAAGGTGGGGGAGGGGGAGGGGCCCTACAACCCCAAGGACTCACTCTCCTAGCAGCTCCCCTGTGTCCTTGTCTAGAAGCCTCAATGTGGAGTCCAGGCTGGACACCAGGGTGCACTGGCCATCCCGGCTGAAGCAGGTGCAAGTGATGGGGCCTGGGGGGAGGGGAGAGGTGGATAGGCACGTGGGCTGGGGCCCCTTTTGCTGCCTCTGCCTCCCCTGCCTGCCCCACGGCCTGGCCACACTCACTGCCCACGTAGTCTGAGAAGAGTTGTCCCATCCTCAGGTCATACCGCCTGACCCGGCCGTCCACAGAGCTGCAAGAGAGGGTGGATCCGATTAAAGTTTCCACTGGGGCCAGTGGCTCCATGGCTCTAGGTAACCTGTGTCCCTCTACACTTGCACCTGGCCAGGGCCCTCAGGACAAGGCTGAGCCCATCCTTTCTGTGCACCCCTCACTGTCATACTCCCTTCTCAGGGCTAGCCAGTTTTCTCAGTGTTGATCTGTGGACTTCAGGGTCGAGGGTTCAATTCTGGATCAAGGCTCATACCTCAGCTGTAGTTCCCCAGCCCTGGTAGGGGTGAGTTCAGAAGGCAACCAATCAATGTCTCTCACATCGATGTTTTTCTCTGTCTCTCCTCCCTCCCACCCTCTCTAAAAATCAATGGGGAAAATGCCCTTGGGTGAGGATTAACAAAAGGAAAAAAAGGAAGCATGCACTGAAGTGAATTCATGAGGGGAAATCTGAGGCACTGCCTTTGAGACCCAGACCCAGGGACCATTAGGAACAATTCAATTCGTTTCTGATAGGCACCGAGCATCCCCTCTGGGCCAGATTCTACAGCAGGAAGGGATGGCTTGGGACACAGCTTCGACCGAGCCAGGAGACATTTCTGGAGCCTCACTGACTGAGGGTAATATAGGAAGTCCTTCCCAAGGTGACATCTGAACCGGGACTTGAAGGACGAGATGGGACGATGTGTGGGAATGGCCAGTCAACAGGCTGGACAGTCCAAACTCCCCCCATGGTGGGAATGGCACTCTCCTGGGCTGTGGCAACACGTGAGCAGCTCTGCATGGGAATTTTTTTCTTTTTCTTTTTTTAAATATATTTTATTAATTTTTTACAGAGAGGAAGGGAGAGAGACAGAGAGCCAGAAACATCGATGAGAGAGAAACATCGATCAGCTGCCTCCTGCACATCTCCCACCGGGGATGTGCCCGCAACCCAGGCACGTGCCCCTGACCGGAATCGAACCCGGGACCCCCCAGTCCGCAGGCCGACGCTCCATCCACTGAGCCAAACCGGCTTCGGCAAGAATTTTTTCTTTTTTAAATATCAAGTTTGTGGGCAGGAATTTCTTCCTTATTTCCCCGTCTTATTCACTGCTACATGCTCGTTGCCTAAAAACGTGGCCCGTGGGAGGGGCTCAAAAACACTTGCAGTAAATAGTAGAAAGGCAGTCCAGGCAGAGGAAGAGCAGCGGCAAAGCACGCTTGGCATATCTCCCTGAAACGAGGCTGGGAATCAGAGAAGCTGAGAGGTCAGCAAGGACCAGACTGTGCGGGGGCTTGGGAGGCAGTGAGGCGGGTAGACTTAAGCACAGAGGCAGCTGTGATAGGCAGGGGAACCGGGGGAGGGGCAATGGTGTAGCTCCAGCTCCACTCACCCTGCCAGGACCTCATGGTCTGACACCTTCACACTGGATACACCATCCTTGGCTTCGTCCAGCTTCTGCACTGGGTCCGGCCTCCGAGAGCGGCAGTCCCAGCAGCGGATGGTGGAATCGATAGAGCCTGTGAGGCCGGCAGGAAGGTGAGGTCAGGTTTTGGGGGCAGGGGCTCCCCTGGGCGCCCCTGCCTCGGCCACGCACTCACCTGACAGGATGACCGTGGCCTCTTCATTAAACTGCACCGTATTCACCTTCTGAGAAACAGGAACTACCACTCAGAGGTGGCGGGACTTTGAAGGATTGGGATAAAGACCGGGTTCTCAGTGCAGATTAAAGTGAGGACAAAAGCTAGGGGTAGGGGAGGTGAGAGGTTTTGAGGGTGCTGCAAGCGAGGGGCCTGTGAATGCGCTGTAATGTGTGTGGGGGAGGGTACCTGTCACCCCTGCACACTAATGCGGGACCCCTCCGCTACCCACGCCCTAATGAGGCTTCTTTCTGCTTGTGCTCACCCCTGCGTGACCCCGGAATTTCCGCACGACCTGCCCGGAGGCCACATCCCACAGCACCACCGCCTTGTCCCCGCCGCCGGAGCAGAGACTGCTGTTGTCAAAGGAACTGGGGGGCAGGGGCGGGAAGGTCAGCATCGACCTGGGGTCCGCGCCTCAACGCCCCCTCCCGGCCTGGCCCCGGCTCACCCGGCCGCGTCCAGCACCTCGTAGCCGTGGCCGCTGTACGTCCGCAGCAGCGTCCCTCGCAGCGGGTTCCACAGCTTCAGGGTCTTGTCGCTGCCGCACGTCAGGCAGTAGTTGCCGTCCACTTGGGAAGACCAGGCGGGGTTACCGGGCTGCCGCCCTCGAGAGGCCACAGGCCGACCCGGAATGAAGACGAGGGCGCTCACCATTAAATCGCACGGCTCGCACCGCTCCCTGCCCGCAGTCCAGCGTCTTCAACCGTTTCTGCGGCAGCACCGGGCCACGCGGCTTGGGCTCAGGGAAAGACATGGCCCCGGGATGCCTTCCTCGCCACCTTCCATCTGTCTGTACCAGTTTCCGAGCGTCTCTCGCTTGGTGCAACCTTATTATTGTCCCTGCGGTCTATTTCCGGTTCCCCATTTCCGGGCTCACTGTTTCGGCTTTTTGGAGGTAATGTTGGAAAATACAATTGCTGCTGGCTGCCTCTAGGTTCCAGGTTTCTCCTTCCACTACCTGGGCCCCGCCGCTAGGTACGGAAGGGCGAGGGCTGCGGGTGTGACTGTAAAAAGCACAGTCCGTTTCCACGCCGGAAGGGGCCACTCCGGCGGCGGAAGAGGGACGTCCCCGACTCGCTATGTCCACGAACAACATGTCGGACCCGCGGAGGCCGAACAAAGTGCTGAGGTAGGGACCCGGCGTCGTGGGAACGAGGCTCGGACTGTGGGTCGGGGCCATAGGGAAGCACTTGTCCATCCGGGGGCGGGACGTGAGTGCCCCTGACCCTCAATCCCGCCGCAGGTACAAGCCTCCGCCGAGCGAGTGTAACCCGGCCTTGGACGACCCGACGCCGGACTACATGAACCTGCTCGGCATGATCTTCAGCATGTGCGGCCTCATGCTGAAGGTGGGCAGGGCTGCGTGTCTCTGCTGGGCTGCCAGGCCAGGGGCGGGTTGGGAATGAAGCGGGGCCGGCGCTGAGGGGCGGGGCTGGGGTGACGTTGGACGGAGGAAGCCAAAGCCATCGGGGATTCAGGAATCCGGGTCAGGGTGGGTGTGTGGGAGGTTGGTGTGAGGGTGGGGCCAGACTGCACAGCCACTTGGAGGGGATGGTGGAGAAAGCGAGGTCATGAGCAGGATGGGCCATGTCGAAGTCTAGTCTTTTTAGGTCTGAGGGTGGGGTCAGAGGCCCTGGCCAGGGGGTAGGGCCAGCAACTCCGTACCTGGAGGAGGCTCTGGGTGGATGAGACTGAGGGGCTCCTGGGGTCAGGGGGAAAGGTTTACGCTGCCCCAGTTGAAACCAGGGGGTGGGAACCGGTGCCGGGGAATGCCCCTTGTCTTCCGCTGACCTAACCCACCCATCTACCTGCCTTTCCCCAGCTGAAGTGGTGCGCTTGGGTTGCTGTCTACTGCTCCTTCATCAGCTTCGCCAACTCCCGGAGCTCTGAAGACACTAAGCAGATGATGAGTAGCTTCATGTGAGGCTGGGCCTGGAGAAGGAGGGACTCTAAGTAAGGGGGGGAGGGCCCAAGCCTTCCCATCTTGACTGACACCTTTCTCCCGTCTCACCCAGGCTGTCCATCTCTGCCGTGGTGATGTCGTATCTTCAGAACCCTCAGCCCATGACACCCCCTTGGTGACTGATGTCAGCCTAGAGGGGTCACATCCTGGACCTCTCTATACACCTCCCTCCAGGGCTGGGCCTTAGCGGCTCAGCCTCCTGCCCTGCCCTCAGCTGCTGGCTGTCCTGGGTGAGGTAGTCGCAGGGCCCCCAGCTGGATGGAAGGAACTTGGACCTTTCCCTGGGGTCCCACTTCTACTGGGGCAGGGAGGGGAAAACCCTAGATAGACTCCTGCCCTCCTTCCCCACCCTGGATGCTGCTGGGGGAGAGCTGTCCATGTTTCTAGGTATAAACACTCATTTTCTTGTTGAAAACAGATCGTAATAAAGATTTGCACTCTGGCTGTTCTCTGAGACCTCTCCTGTGCAATGCGGGTGCTCTCCTGGAAGGGCTCCAGTTCCTCCACTTCCTCAGGCCTGGGGTGAGGCCCGTCTGGAGCCTTCTGCTTCACTTGCTTATTCGAAGCCTTCAGGCCTTAAGTCAGCTGCCGGAGACAGGACAGTGACCCTCACCTCTGGCAACTCAGCAGGTGGCCCTGCTGACCTGAGGAATCTGGGCTTTGGTTTTCTTTTTGTTGTTGTTTGTTGTTAATCCTCACCCCAGGATATGTTTCCATTGATCTTTTGCGAGAGTGGAAGGGAGAAGGAGAGACAGAGAGAGAGAAACATCAATGTGAGACGGCGGGGCAAGACTGCAACCAAGGTATGTGCCCTTGATTGGAATCAAACTGGGCCCCCTAAGTCCACAGGCTGATGCTCCATCCACTGAGCCAAACCGGCTAGGGCAGGGCTTTGATTTTCTTATCAAAGGAGTGAAATAACGTCATTGAACTAGATGGACCGATAGGGAATTGGAAAGACATGAAAGACTGTCTTCCCCCAGAGGGGAAGAGACTGTTCCATGACTTGACTGCTGTAGGACCTGAGAGCCGGCCTGGACTAGAACGGGGAGATTGCTTAGTAAACCCCGCCCCCCCCCCCCCCCCCCCAAGAAAAAGACAACTTTCTGATTGTACTTGATGTTCATTCTGACACAGATCGCCCCTCTTTTGCCTCAGGCTATGTGCCAGTTCCTGGAACAGGTTGTCCTGATATGTTCAAGCATGTGAAGTAATTTCCCCTACCTGATAGCATTCACATGTCAGTGTATATGACTATTCCTCCTTTTACCCTGGACAATTCTTTGGCACCTGCCAAGCAGCATGGGGATCAATTTCAGCTTGCAGCCACTCAAGACACACCTGCATGTCAGTTTCCCTTTGAAAACTATTATTAGAGAGGAGTGGCAGCTTTCTTTGGTCTTTCCCCACCCTCTGCTTTTGGAGGTAGATTTTTAGTCTTGGGGCTTTCCCCTGGGTGTGCATGTACTAACAATTGGCAAGCCCGCCAGGAGACCAAAGAAATGGGCTTTGGTAAAGGGGGTCGACCTGGCCATTGACCTCTATGTGGGGAGGGGTGAGCTGTACGCTAGACACAGTGGACTGCCGCATGAGTACAGGGGACTCTGAAAATGCTGGCTGGTCTCCTACTTGTTTAAGGAACTGCACTGTGGCAAGGCAGGAAATCTATGGCTACAACTGTAGGCTGGTCACAGATGCCCACTAGAAGCAAAAGACAGGGTTAGAAAGGAAAAACTGAAACTAGAAAAAGATGTTAGAATGTCTACAACTCTGTTAGCATAGGGACTGGCAGATAAAGGCGGGGTGGGTGGCGGGGAAGCTCCTTTGAACAGATCCCACCTCTTTTTTAGAAGCCATATGTTCATGTGTGTCTATATATGTGTTGTTTTGGTGTAGTAGTTTTTACCTCGAAATGGTGTTGCTAACTTGTAAAAGAGCTATGTTTAGTTGGTTTAATGGAATGAAGTGCTTCTATAAATTAAGGATTGGGTATTCTAAAATTCTCAGAAATTAACCCAAATGCTTTCTCAGAATCACATGATCTGGGGAGATCACATGATTTGTCATTAAAGCTAGTTTAAGTGTGTTGGTTTAATTAAAACAGATATGTCTTGCCCGGCCGGTGTGGCTCAGTGGTTGAGCATCGACCTATGAACTAGGTGGTCACGGTTTGATTCCCAGTCAGGGCACATACCCGGGTTTCGAGCTTGATCGCCAGTGTGGGGCATGCAGGAGGCAGCTGATCAATGATTCTCTCTCATCATTAATGTTTCTGTCTCTCTCTCCTCCCTTTTTCTCTGAAGTCAATAAAAATATATTTTTTAAAAAATGGAGTCCTTAACAGATTAAGTTACTAACTAGAAAACCAGCTTTGGCCAGTATACAAAGGTGTTTTCCCAAGTGTAAATACTCTTAAATGATCAACAGTGGGGCCTATTGCTCTGTATGCCAGGCTGGGAGCTCAAACGAGGCACCCAATATGGTTAAGGTGTGAGAAACAAAGGACACAGTAATAGTCTGGATGCTTGCCATGGACCAGTGGGCCATGATATTGAAGGCACCAGGCCTTATCGTCCCTGGAACATTCACTGGAGTCTGCAGTGAGATACTGCCCTGTGATGGGTTGGTTACTTCATGCACCTGGGGGAGAGGAACTGCTCAGTCTCCCGTAGGATCCTGTTATACTAATGCAGTCAGGAGCCATGGAGACAGGCTATACTCAGACTGGTACATGCACCATTAAAAGGGGAGAAGGTAGGGGTCCTGATCTAATATAGTCCTCGCCCTATTCACCGCCTTACTTGTTGGTCAGGAAGAGCACCATTTCTTCCTGACCAACAAGTATGGTTTACACAGCCT